TATATAATAGTGTTGTTTATGATGTATATATATATTTATTAATATATTTATTAATTTATTTATTAATATATTTATTTATTTATTTATTTATTTATTTATTTATTTATGTATAGGGTTATAGAGGGTGTGCAGTAGTACTAGGTGGTGTAGATATAAAGGGCCCCTCTCTGTATAAGATTCATCCTCATGGCTCAACAGACACCGCAAGTTTTGCTGCTATGGGTAGTGGTAGTCTTAATGCTATGGCTGTACTAGAAGCAGGTATTCCTCCTCCTGCTGCTGCTGCTGCTGCTGCTGGTGGTGCTGCTGTTGCTGCTGCTGTTGCTGTTGCTGCTGCTGGTGGTGGTGATGGTGGTGGTGATTATATTATTTATAGATGTATATGTACAACAGTGTTGCTGCTGCTGCTGCTGCATTTGCTGCTGCATTTGCTGCTGCATTTGCTGCTGCATTTGCTGCTGCATTTGTTGTTGCTGCTGTTGTTGCTGCTGTTGTTGCTGCAGGATATAAGGATGGTATGACGGAGGAGGAAGCAAAAGAGTTAGTATGTGCAGCAATAAGAGCAGGAGTAATGAATGATTTAGGTAGTGGAGGTAATATAGATATAGTTATAATAAAAGAAAAAGAAGAAAAAGCAATACATATAAGAAAATATTCTTCCCCTGTTAGGCATGCATATAAAGGTGTATATACACCCTATAAAATAAATACTACTCCTTTCTTTCATGAACATATTCAATATATACAACCTCGTCTTTCTGTTCAAGAAGAAGTAGAAATGCTTGAGGCCTCCTCTTAATAAACCCTAAACCCTAAACCCTAAACCCTCATATAAACCCTAAACCCTCGTAAACCCTCATAAACCCTAATATAAACACTAATAAACACTAATAACATGAATTTATATATTAATATATAAACGTTTGTTTTACATATCTGCATTGGATTTACTAACACTACAAGCTGCTAGCTGCATGCATGCATGCACTGATGCAGCAGGTGGTTGCTGCACCAACTGCAGCAGCAGCAGCAGCAGCACAACAAGTCGTGCATGCGCAGTTTATTTCCTTTCTTTATAGGGTTGTTAGGTGTATGTACACCGCAAACCCTCATGAACAAACAAACAAAATAAAAGTATCATTTATTCTTTTGCTTGTTATTTATTTATCCTCTATCTTAGGAGGCCTTGAGGTGTATGTACACCTCAATATATCTAATAATAATATAGTATATATATATATATATA